AGCTGGCTAGGGAGGTGGTGAGCCCCCCCGCAGTCTTTAAGTAGCGTCTGGACAAACCCTTGTCAGGGATGCTTTAGGCTGATCCTGCATTGAGCGGGGGGTGGGGGTGGGGTTGGACTACTAGATGGCCTGTATGGCCCCTTCCAATGTGGTGAGTCAAAGCCGCGGAACAGAGTTTGAGTCCAGGGGCGCCTGAGTGCTCTCATAGTTTTAAAGGTGCCACTGGACTCAAACTTTGTCCTGATCAATTTTAAGTCACTGTTAAAAGTCACACAAACCAGTTGAAAAAGTGGCAGCTCTGTCCCAGAATATGTTACGGCTGCAGCGTTAAGAATCTCTTCTATCTCCCAAAATAATGTTTGTATTTCAGGAATGGAAGGCTTGGCTGGTGGCCCTCTACTACACCATCACGCTGCCTCTGAGGACTGTTTATCTGATCGTCCTGTTCACCATCGAGGAGCTGTCGTCCAAGATCCAGGAGAGCGTGTCCCAGACCCCTTACGTCTTTGAAGATCTCCGGCTGGCCCTCACCACCCTCGAATGTCTCCATGATCTCTGCAGGAGAATCCTCGCCCGAGTCTGGAGGAAGATGCTGGAGGAAGAAAACCTGAATGCTCTGGTGGGCTACATAAGGAACATTCTACCTTTCTGTTTCCTCGCAAGCCACTGCAAATGCAGGACCTAAAACTGGACTTTATGATGGCAGATGTTACAGGTCATGTGAACGGTGGAGGTGTCCGTAGAAGATATCATTGGACTGAAGAGATCTGGAAAGGGTTTCATGACGGGGCCTTCCATGGGATTTGTCGGCCTACAGAAGAAACTAGTCTGTGGAGGGGAAAGGGTGGGCTACTTAAGGCCTTGGTTCTTAAATTAGATACTAAGGCAACAGCAACCGTGCTGTAAACCGGTACTCGTGTGTGTGTGTGTGTGTCTTTCACTCTTCCTTCCACCCTCCCCCCCCCAGAAATACCTTGAGACTCTTGAAATCCAAGAGTCCAATTAGACTAGACTGAAAGTGATTAGGCTCATCTTAATTAAAAGCTAATTAGTAGCAGTTGGTATGGCCCTAACTCACTCACTAAAAGGGAATCTCCGTGTTCCAGGATCCAAAAGTCTTGTTTACATTGCAAGGTTTTAAAGAATGTGTTCTAAGTATGCGGGGAAAGGAAGCGGCTCTGAGAATCCTTAAAGGTAGAGAAAAGCAGGGTATAAAAACCAACTCTTCTTCTCAGCCCAGTCTCCTCCCAGCCCAAACAGCGTGTTCTGCTGTTTAAGCTTGGTAAGGTTCCCAGTTGATCTGGACAGTCCAGTGTTTTCACTATTTGGAAAAACATTTAAATGTCTGGTATTTTTTCAGTCCCCCCCCCCCCAAGACAGTCAGTGAAAATACTGGACTGTCCGGGTCAATACCAGACACCAGTGGCAACCCTATCTCAGCAGGATCCAAAGATCCCATAAGGAATGGCAGCATCCAGCTTTTCCCACTGAAGTTTGGACATTTTTTTAAAAAATCTTTTTTTTCTATACCTTTTCACCCCCTCCAAAGTGTTTTCCTCTCCTTGCGAGTGCTAGCGTCTCTCTCCACAACTATTTTTCTCTGCTCTAAGTATTTAAAAGTGCTTTTCTCTCTCCCAACCAAAGTGTTTTTCCCTGTCCCTAATGGAGTTAAAAAAAGATTATTTCACCACCTAAAAAAAGAGGAGAAGTTGTTGCTCTTTAAGCTTCCTCTTTGCCTAGGGTTGCCAGCTGGCCTGGAGAAAAATGTCCCATTCCTTTACTAGAGTCTTCATGAACAGAAATGTGTGGTTGACGCTTTGCATGGCATGGAAGTCAATAACACCTGCTGGTAAACAGCATCCCATTAAGCAGCGGGGGTTTTTCTAGGGGGACATGCTGGAACAGAGTTCCAGAACCTCTTCAACAAAATTCTTTTACAAATGTTTAGAGGTTCATGAGTTTTCAGTATACAGTTTGAAAACTTCTTTTCCCTCTTGAGAGTCCCGGTGCCTCTTTTTCCAGACAAAAAGGTTTGCCATTAAGAGTGGGGCATTGGTCTCTAGGCCAGATAGCAAACCTACAGTCGTCTCTCCTCTTTCTCTCTACCTCCCTGATTTGTGGATGCTAAACATCCATTTCTCTTTGGGTTGTTGCCTATTTTGCACCCAGATGACCATCTGATTGAATTATTAGATTTTAAAAAATTTACTAGTTGGTCAATTACTCTGCAATTTCTTCAACCCTGGGAAGCGGGCTAAAATAACACACTAACAAGTCTGGAGGCCAGAAAGGCTAAAGGCTTTGCAACACTAGCAACCATGCCAAGCGTTACTCGCATACTGATACCTCCTCAAAAACAGCTAAATGAGACAACCCTTGTTAGGGTGTCAGAAGGGCAGACGTTATTTTGTTTTAAAAAAACGAACACAGCATTCGCATTCAGCCCTTTCTGGCATTCCTCTTCAATTTGTTGGGTGGGGGGGAGTTCTGTCCTGGGACCTCTGCCGTTCTATCTGTAAACTGCTCTCCTGGAATGACCCCGTTAAATTAATCAACTTGTGTGGCTTTGGGCACTGCTTTGTCGAGGAAGGAGGACACATTTTAGATGGAACATGGGAAGGAACGCCAGGATGATACAAGCAGCCATCCGAAGGCTGCGAGTGGCACAGGGGTGGGCACACCATCGGCCAGGCCTAGGACTGAGAACAGACTCTGAAACGGATAGGAATGGTGGTCTGAGCAGAGCAGCAGAAGTCAAAAATAAAACTGCAGTTAGACAGCCGGAGGATACAAGAAGAAGATAAGACGGGATTTATACCCCGCCCTTCACATGGAAGTCTCAGAGCATCTTACAATCTCCTCTCCCTTCCCTTCCCCACAACAGACACCCTGTGAGGTAGGTGGGGCCGAGAGAGCGCTTGAGAGAACTGCTCTTGAGAGAACAGCTCCAAAAGAACTTGGGACTGACCCAAGGTCACACCAGCAGCTGCACGGGGAGGAGTGGGGAACCAAACTTGGTTCTCCCATATTAGAGACTGCGCTCCTGACCACTTCACCAAACAAGCATCGTAGTTGGCTATTGCTTTTAATTCTGCAGGAACCAAGTTAAGCAGCAGGTGGGACTGTCTTGCCAGCAGGGATTCCAACCTCCAGGTAGAGCCTGGGGATCTTCCAGAAGTACAATGGATTCCCAGATGACACAGATCAACTCCCCTGGAGAAAATGGCTGCTCTGGAGGGTGGACTCTATGGCACTATCCCCCGCTGAGGTCCCTCCCCTCCCCCAGGCTCCACCCCCAAATCTCCAGGAATTCCCAGCCCAGGGCTGGCAACCCTACTAGCCAGGCAGAACAGAAGGGGCAATAGATAGAAATAGTTTTTTCTTCTCACAGCAGAAACCAGTTCCCTGCCTCTGCATCACAACCCTGGACTTCCTTGAGGGTGTGTGTGTCTCCCATCCAAGTACTAACCTGGGCCAACCCCGCTTCGCTTCCAAGAACTGGCAAGATCTCCAGGCCAGGAGGTGCTGAGCGGCTCCTTTTTTCTGACATTCCGTGGGTCGAATGGCCCAAATTTAAAGGAAAAGGTTTCTCGTACTTTCACAGAGAATGTCGATTGCATCACTGCCTGGAAAAGAACTCTTCTGTACACAAAAAGGCCGCATTTGCTTGCAGCGGGATCTTTCGTGGGCATGGGTAAAGAGGAGACTTGAGCAATATTTTGCAATGCCAAACAACTCCCTGTCCCGCCTGAATAACCTTGCACGTTGCTTCAAGCAAGCAGTTCTCAAGCATTTCATCTAAGGATTAATCTCGCCAAGGCCCTTCCCCGCCCCATACAATTTATGTGAACCTGGGCCCCTCGCCCTGTTTAAACAAAAATAGCAAATGCCTTAACTTATCTCTTTGAAGCCCCATCATCTTCACCTCCCCACGCAGGCCTCCTTGTTAACATGAAACATTCCATCTCAGCCATGGCCTCTGAAGCCTTGAGTTCCAAGCCTAGTTCTAGCTTGGTCCTTGAACCCCTGACTTTTGGGATTCCCTGCTTGCACAACCTTTGAGTATTGCTGTGATTTCCAGAGCATTTGTTGTTGCTGTTCAGTTGCGCAGTCGAGTCTGACTCTTCGCGACCCCCATGGACCACATCATGCCAGGCCCTCCAGTCCTCCGGATTTTGCTCAACCCCATGTTCGTTGCATCGATAACACTGTCTAACCATCTCACCTTTTGCCGTCCCCTTCTTCTTTGACCTTCAGTCTTTCCCAGCATCAGGGTCTTCTCCAGTGAGTGCTCCCTTCTCATTTGGTGGCCAAAGTATTTGAGCTTCAGCTTCAGTATCTGGCCTTCCAGGGAACAGTCAGGGTTGATTTCTTTTAGGATTGACTGATTTGATCTCCTTGCAATCCAGGGGACTCTCAAGAGTCTTCTCCAGCACCATAGTTCAAAAGAATCTATTCTTCGGCGCTCGGCCTTCCTTTAGTCCAACTCTCGCAGCCATACAGCACTACTGGGAATACCATCGCTTTGACCATACGGACTTTTGTTGGCAGGGTGATGTCTCTACTTTTACACACCTAACCAGTGACCAGTGTGACAGAGCCCTGGATAGGGTTGCGAGATCACCCAGAATGACAACTGACCTCCAGACAACATAGATCATTTCCCTAGGAGAAAATGGCTGCTTTGGAGGGTGGACTCTGTGACGTTATACCCCACTGAGCTCCCTCCCCTCACTAAACCCCGCCTTCCCTAGGCTCCACCCCCAAATATCCAGGAATTTCCCAGTCTAGAGCGGGCGACCCTGGCCTTGGATAAGTCACGACTAGCAAAAAATAAATAAGCAGCCTCTCCTCCCTTTCAAGTCACAATTGGCCCTCACAATCCAAAGCAACCGGGCGACAGACCCGATCACTCCAAGCCCTACAGCATTCTCGATTTCAACACTGGGAACATAACTAAAGTGGTCAAACCTACAAAGGAGACCTGGAGTTAGTTCTTGTGGAATTACAACAGCTCTCTAGGCGACAGAGGTTCGATCCCCCTGACGGGAACAGCCACTTCACAGGGCGGACTCTGGGGCACGGCCTCCCCGCTGAGCTCCCTTCCCTCCCCGGATACTCCCCCAGGGATTTTCCTTCCCTCTCCCTCCCTCTCCTGGTACTTGTAAGGGCAGTATGCCCAGCACCAGGAAATGCAGTTTTCACAGGGCGCCTGGTCCCTAATGCCTGGAAGACTCCCCTGGCCCTGTTTCAAAGCGAGGGGGGAGAGGAAGAAAAAATTAACTTCTCCCTGCTGTCCCTGAGCCAACAGCTAGTAAATGAGCAGGGATGCCAGCCACCAAGGAGATGCAGTGCCTGGTCCCTAATGCCTAGAAGACTCCCCTGGCCGTGTTTCAAAGCGAGGGGGAGAGGAAGAAAAACTTCTCCCTGCTGCCCCTGAGCCAACAGCTAGTAAATGTGCAGGGATGCCAGCCACCAAGGAGATGCAGGGGGCAGGGGCAGTCATACCAGCATCACAGCGATGGGTGACGTTACTTACGGCACAAAACTGGAAGTGACGTCATTGTGTTGGGCTGACGCCGCCCTAGGATCCACCTAAAACTCAATAGTTCCTCCCACTGCAATGATGGCGCTTTTTCTTTTTGTGATGGAGGTCACATCATGTATTCGTGCGATGCCAGCAAGCCCTCCCCATTCCCCCCCCCCCCATCCTATGAAGCCATCCCGTTGGGGTTTTTACCCTAATGAAGTGACCTGTAACCTTTGTATTGGTCACTAACAACTTGTTTGTGGAAATGCTTTGATCTAGCATTCATGTATTCACAAGGTTTATGGCTCTTTGTGTGAAGCAAGCTCCCCTCTAGAAGTCGAAAGAGAGATAGAAAGATGTAGCTCTTAGCATTTAGTACTGAAAGTAACTGCAAGTATGTAACCTTTTCATTTTTATTTATTTTATCCAAAGTACCTTACCCATGCTTTATTTTGTTTTGTAGTAAAGATATTTTTCTTTTACTAATGTGGCTCTTGTGTTTGCAAAACGACCATCGATCTTGAATCTCAGAATCCCAACACATCCCAAACCAGAACTGGGGAACACTAAGTTTGCCTTTAAAAACTGCTGGGAAAAATCTGATCACAGATCCCCCCGGATCCCATCTAGTTAATCTCCCTCATGGTGTGAGGATTACAGCTCCTCTTCAGACTATGGAGATCCGTTCCCCTGGAGAAAGTATATATCTCTGCCCAGTTTCTTCATACCCTCCATGCATCTGATGAAGAGAGCTGCGTTTCTTGTGGGCTTACGCTACAATAAAGTTTGTTAGTCTTAAAGGTGCTATTGGGCTTTTTATTATCCTGGAGAAAGTGGATCCCACCGAGGTCCCTCTCCTCCACAGGCTCCACCCACAAATCTCCAGCAGTTTCCCAACCTGGGTTTGGCAACCCTACCCCTCGCCAGTGACCAGGAGAGACCCGGCAACCCTATAAACAAGGCATGATTTCAGAATGCATTTTTGCAGGTTTGTGCCAACCACTTGCATCATCAGTCTTGCTGCAGGATACCTGTTGACAGTGGGGATGAGTTTTCCTGTGGTTTCTTTGCTGGGACCTTGCCTTGCTCGTTGCCAAGGGAAAGATCTCTACACATACCCTATCCCCCACTCACTGAATGCAAAAAACGTGTCACAACAAAAACAGCTTCGGTGGTACAAAGCCTCTGTGTGTGGGTGTGTATGTGTGTGTGTGTGTCTGTGACTGGCTTTTCTCCTGCAACGCTGACCACTAGGTAATGGTAACGTTCCAAGCTGGGTCATCTTTAGCCAATGGTACTCACTGCCCGGCTTGCATACTGACTGATACAGCCATTTATATCCAATATATGTTATTGTATTTGCTTACTGTATCATAACTACGTGTGTGTGTGTGTGTTACCTTCCGTCAAGTCCCTTATGACTTATGGTGACCCTATGAATGAATGACCTCCAAAACATCTCTCCAACATGCAGGGGCTCAGGAGACTGCTGATCTCACACAGTTCCAAAGGGCAGGGTTCTTTGCCAAAAAAGCACAAAGGACTTGGAGCAGGAGGAAGTTTCTGGCTCTGCTCAACAGTTTGCCTTCTTCTGGGCTCTTTTCACTAAGGGAGGGGGAGGTGGCTGAAGGGAGGGAGGGAGGGTCCGGTGCAACAAGGGGTGGTGGTGCTCAGCTCATATTAAAGGAGCCCTTCTGCACACGCCGCACGGCATTCAAGAGCAACAGCCATGGACACCTACGTGGAAATGAACACCAAGGGAAGGATGCCAGTCTTGGGGCTGGGGACCTGGCAGGTAATGACAGCTGATGAGTGGAAAATCCAGAGCACGGCATCAAGAGCCAATGGGAAGACATGCAGTCACCTCTTCCCGGGTGGGGCGGAGTGGGGGATGGGGGGAGGATATGGGCTTTTGCCTGCAACTGTATTTAGGGGTGTATATGCATGCCAAATGCACAACCAATGCTCCCTCTAAGCTGTGGCGTCTTCTGAGCAAAAATCCTACTTTGTGAGCTGCTGGCATTAAAGTTGTAAGAGCGATTTGGTTACTGCATAAATTAATTTTGCACTGGAGCCATCCTTCCTAAGCTAAGACAAAAAATGTGTGAGCCAGAGACTAAAAAACTGTGAGCTAGCTCACGCTAACTCAGCTTAGAGGGAACACTGTGCACAACCCTATTGAAAAAGACCAAAGAAACTAAAGCCGTGGACGTAACGCGCACCCTTGCCGTCACTGCACTCGTCAGGACTTACTCCCGAGTCGGGCTGCATCGTGCCTTCATGCCCGGGGTGGGCGGCGGATTTGTGCAAGCCGAAGGGAGAGAGGCGAAGCTGAAGAACAGCGCGCCACACCGGAGGACCCGTGCAAGGGAGGAGCGGGCCCATATTCCAGTTGGGGCGGTGCACCCCAAAGGGTGGCGACTGGATCCCATTCCAGCTGCCTCCCCCGCGTTGAATCTCGTGTCGGGGGAAGCGAGTCTGCGGGGCGAGGAACAGGAAAAAAACCGGGCAAAGTCTGGGTCCGGCGGCGCCTTTAAGACCAAGCAAGTTTAATTCTGCGCACGAAATCTTATACCCAGAACAAAACAAGACTTTTGTTCTGCGGCTTCGGACCCACCTGAAGGTGGAGAATCCGCTTGGTTTGCTGGCTCCCTCCAGCCCACGATCATGTGAGAGTACGGAAGCCTTTCCCTGGACTCCGTGGAGCAGACCTGCAGGCTTGGCTTGGCCCGGGGGGACCGGCAGGCCTCGGGAGGTGTTTTTGGGGCGGCGAGGTATTAAAAATGCATACAACTGTTAAAGTAAGATAAAACCACTTCAATTTTAACAAAAATTAGCTAGTACTAATAACAACATAATCTATACATCAATCATCAAGAACAAATATATAATCAACATTTAACTAAACTCAATATTGTACTGGATATCATTATATTTCGGAGAAGAAGATTCTTTAACAATAAATCAGGTAAATATTAAGCTTTGACCAACCTTTTAACACTACTTTTCACTGTGTAGATTATTGACCTATTATAATTTAATCTTATCTGTAATAGGATATATCCACATGTCCCTATTAAGACATATTCTACCTTTCGACTTCCTTCAGAGCCAATCAATATATTTCTTCCAAGAGGGTGGTATGTAAGCCGAGGAGTCTTGTGAGCAAAAATTCTACTTTGTGAGCGACTGGCATTAAAGCTGTGAGCAGGTGATTTGGCTACTGCATCAGTCAGTTTGCTCTGGAGCCCGCCTTCCTGAGCTAGGACAAAAATGTGTGAGCCAGCAGAGGCTAAAAAATTGTCAGCTCGCTCACCCTAACTCAGCTTAGAGGGAACACTGTTGGGCAGCCCTGTTGGTCTGAAGCAGGGGAACACAGCTTGAGTCCAGCAGCGGCACCTTTGTGACCAACAAAGTTTTATTCTGGGTATGAGCTTTTCATGTGCAGGCACACTTCCTCAGATATATTGACATGGAAGTTACTAGTCCATACATACAGGCAGAGGGTGAACAGCAAATTAGCATACCACATAATGGAGATGTTTTAACGGCTGCAAAGACCAAACAGGAATAACCAACTAAGTTTTTACAGCCACCATTGGTTTGGATTTAATAAGGGGGGGGGGAGTGAAGCCAATAAATATGTCAGAATAGGAGACTACATGTGTAATGATGATCCTATAAACTTAGCTTTTGAATGGGGAGCAATAGATCATTGTTCTAGAATAAAGCAGTTTGATCCATGGATATTAACTGACCTATGGGTACGAACATAAGAACATAAGAGATGCCAATGTTGGATCAGGCCAAAGGCCCATCCAGTCCAACACTCTGTATCACACAGTGGCCAGAAATACCAGGTGCCATCAGGAGGTCCACCAGTGGGGCCAGAACATTAGAAGCCCTCCCACTGTTGACCCCCCCCAAGCACCAAGATGACAGAGCATCACTTGCCCCAGAGCCCCTATCTATACCTTGTGGCTAATAGCCACTGATGGACCTCTGCTCTGGCATCTCTTATGTTCTTATGTTCCCATGCATAATCTTATAAACCTCAATCATGTCACCCCTCAGTCGTTGTTTCTCCAAGCTAAAGAGCCCTAAGTGCCTTAACCTTTCCTCATACGAGATGGGCTAGTAGTGAAAACTATGCAGAATAGTACACAACAGGAAACGTCTCTATTTTTCAAGACACCTGGTGCATATTGGATTTGTGGAGCGGTAGCCTATAAAGCAATGCCCCCTGATTGGAAAGGAAGGTGCGCTTTTGGATATCTAGTGCCACCATTGTTGAAAATACAAGCCTTGAATAGTTCCCAGCTTTTAAATTATAGGAAGTTTTGTGCACAAGCTTATAGGAGAGACGAGAAGCGTTGATAATTCATTGGCTGCACGAGGTTTAGGATTTCACGCCTTTACAAGAGCCCTTCTCCCATGGAAGAAGTGATTGTGAATATTTCAAAGGAATTAGAGTTAAGTTTTAGTGACACTGTTAATGCCCTCACAGATTTGCAAACTGAAATAAATTCACTTTCTCAGGTGGTGTTACAAAATCAAAGAGTGCTGGATGTTTTAACTGCCCAACAGCGTGGAGCAGGTGCATTGGTAGGAGAAAAATGCTGTTTTTATGTCAATAATGAAGGGGATGCAAGCAAAGCCATTGCAGAGATAAAAAGAGTGTTCAAGTGCATGGTCAAATAGAAAACGACGAGGCTTGGGACCCTTGGACATGGTTGTTTGGGTGGATACCCAACACAGGAGGCTGGTTGAGGAATGTATTGCAAATAGCAATAATGACTATTGTATCAGCTATTGCGCTTTGTGGTTTTATCCAATGCATTCCTAATTTATGGGCCATATTCAGGTCTTGCTTCCAAAAGACAGGGCCAACTGCGCAGCACTGTTATGAAGCTCTGCAAATGCAAGCATAAGCAAAAGGTGACTCTTGTGCTGAGACACAGACATAGAGTCAAAGGGGGGAACTGATTGGGGAAGGGAGCAAGACTGAAGCCATTTTAAATTACTTTGAGCAGCTCAGGTCAAACAATCCCTTAGGGCAGCTGGCAAAAGTTATGGCATCTTAAATGTTAAAGATTGTTAAATAACGTTGTTTCTTAACAGTGCTATGTGCAGCTTAGGCAAGCTGAAATTTTGGGTAAGCTAAATATAACCCAAAGTGTGAAACAGGATGTGGTGAACTGGGTAAGAGGGCAAGATGTCTAGATGTGGCTGAGTAAGCAAAGCTGTTGCCTGGGAAAGGGAAGCTGTTCTGCAAGATGCATAGAAAATCATAAGTATTCTAAATAAGGGTTAAAAGACATATATGCTTGACAAATGTATTCATATAGAAATAAAGGAAGTATAACCAAAGGAAGTATAGCCTCTGTAATGTAAAGACATCTGTGCATGTCTAAAAACTGTTTGTCACACTGTATAAAAAGTTCATACTGATGCCTTATTAACAGAGTATTCAGGTTTTGCTGCTGAGGTCCCCTTTATTGTAATAAAGTTCTGCCTACTCCTGGAATCTCACTGGTTGTGTTCATCAAAGGGTGCCAGCACACCAGGGCTAAGGGTCCATTTGGCTAACACACTCAATTAAGAGATAGGATGGGATGCAGGAGGGGCTGACAAGTAGGGTTACCAATGTCCAAGTGGCATCTGGAGATCTCCTGGTGTTGTAGTTAATCTTCAGACTACAGAGATCAGTTCCCCTGAATAAAATGGCTGCTTTGGAGGGTGGACTCTATGGTATTATATCCTGCTAAAGTCCCTCCCCCCCCCCCTCAAAACCTGCCCTCTTCCAGGCTCTTCTCTCAAAATCTCCAGGTATTTCCCACCCCAGAGCTGGCAACCCTAGATGACAGGGAGGGGCTTTTAAAAAAAACAAAACAGAAGATGAAGAAGAAGAGAAGAGATTGGATTTATACCCCGCCCTTCACTACCCAAAGGTGTCTCAGAGTGCCTTACGAACTCCTTTCCCTTCCCCTCCCCACAACAGACACCCTGTGAGGTAGGTGGGGCTGAGAGAGCTCTGACAGAAACTGCTCTTTTTCAAGAACAGCTCATTATCAGAACTACGGCTTGCCCAAGGTCATCCAGCTAGGTGCAAGTGGAGGAGTGGGGAATCAAAGCCGATTCTCCCAGATTAGAGTCCCCACACTTAACCACTATACCAAACTGGCTCACAGGTTACCTGATAGGGATAGGGTTACCTGAGGACACTGGAGGACTGTGAGTTCCCCCACCTTTCCTGGTGTGAAGCGTGCTTCCTTCTCATCTTCCCACCCACCCACCAACCTACCTTTATCTGTCCAGGTCTTCAGCTTGATGGACCGATATAGTCTGATTCAGTGTAAGGCAGCTTTGTGCGTTCATATGTTAATATTTTTACTACATTTTTACCCTGCATTGCTCCCCAGTGGACACAAAGCAGCTTTCACCCTTCTCTTCCAAAACGCGGCAGTGGATGGGCACTGCCGTTGCCAATAATGCCCCCCTCCCTCCCCTGCCGAAAATAAACATCATGGATTTCAACGTGAAGAAGGTAGCGGCTGGAACGTTCCTCAGTAGCTAGTGCTGGAATGTTCCTCAGCTTGGTCAAGCAGAGAAGATTGAATTTGATGCTCACTTGGAAAACCACAAAGCAGAATGTACTAAACATTGGACAGAAAAAAATAATGAGACAGATGGAAGTTTTGTCACAGCCAAATCCAAATGCTAGAACAAAAGAGTTTGTCTGTGAGAAACTAGACTGCAAAGCACCAAGTCATATGAATAATCCAGAATTACTGG